GAGAAGAAGAAAAACCAGGGGACCTGACCAGCTGGGCCCCAGTGGAGAGCAGGCAGATTGCAGTATGAAGTAGAGTGGTCAGGGAGTCATACTGCACAGGTGAGACTTGAGCAGACACTTGAAGGAAGGGAGAGGGCGGATCAAGTGGCTCAGGAGGGGAGGGGAGAGGATACTGCAGGCAGAGGAAACAGCCCGAGCAAAGAGGCCGGTCTTTCTTCTTCAAGAAAGAGTAAGGATGCTAACTGGTTGGAGCACAAGAGTCGAAGGAGCTTTGATTCTGAGTGAAATGAGGAACCACTACAAGGTTTTAAACAACAGTGGCACCAAGATCGGACTTGTATTTTAAAAGGAGTATTTTCACTGGCACGTTGGCAGGGAAAGGTCAAAGGTAGAACAAGAAGTCCTAGTTAGGACGAGGCAGTCATCCAGGTGAGAGCTGGTGGGCACTAAGACCTGAGCAGAAGGTGTGCAGGTGCTAGTTGCCTAGAGAGAGAATGACAGCGGAGGGAAAGGATTGGGATAATGTTGTGATTGGGAAGGCACCTCACAGAGGACTCCCGGGATGCTGGCAAAGTAATGTGCGTGATAATGACATGGGTGTTCTTTTTGTAATTAGACGTGAAAGCAATATACACACATGCTGTCTGTCTGTATCTGTATAAATAGTCTATCTCCAAGAAAAGAATAAAGAAGCAACAGGAAGAACCTACCCAGCAAATGACGGAAATGGTCAGCTGTTGGAAGGCACCAGCAACTCCTTGAGAGAAAAAGGAGGCTGCTGTAAATATCTACAGTCTCAGAAACCACAGGGCAGTTCTACACTATCCTATAGAGTCCCTAAGACTCAGAATGGATTTAACGGCAATTAATTAGGAATTTGGGGATTACCCTACCAATGGAATCCCATACATGGGACCCCAAGCTAATGCATCCTCTCTTATTAGCCTTCTGTTCCATCTATAAAACCAGGGAAATGAAAAAAAAAAAAAACCAAAAACACCAGGGAAATGCTGTCTGACTCGCCCTTTCACTAGAGAGTTGTAAAGGTCACAAATCCTTTGTAAGTTGCCAAAATCTATACACATATTATTATTGCTGAGGTTTTTTCCCAGCTTTATTTAGGTATAATTGGCATACAGTACTAAAAACCATACCCACCTACTGCCATGGGGCCAGTTCGAATTCATAGCAGCCCTGTGTCAGTGTAGATCGATAAACCCCAGACACTTAAAGCGCACGATTTGATGCATTCGACATAAGGACACAACGTCCAGGGAGCCCTGTCTTCAAGGCTTGAAGTCAAACAGGCGGTCATCTAGCAGAGAAGCAACAAGCCCACATGGAAGAAGCACAGCAGCCTGTGCAGTCATGAGGTGTCAATGGGACCAATAGCAGGCATCAGAAACCCCCTAACAAACAAAAAATCATATTGTTGAGAATGAGGGGCGGTCGGAGCAGAGACCCAAAACCCATCTGCAGACAATGGGACACAAGGAAGGAAGGGTCACAAGGAAGGGATGAGTCAACCAGGGCTTAGTACGGCATCCATGAAACAGACAACATTCCTCTGGTCCCTTGAGGCTTCCTTACCCCCCACTATCATGACCTCAGTACTGCCTTTCACTGTGGGCTAGACTGGAGCATGTGCACAGGTAAATAAGAGATAAGAGCTCATGACACACAGAATCCAGGAACAGGAATGGGAGTAGCAAAGCCCGAAGGGTGGGGAGATGGGGAGAAGGAAAGAAGGGGGAACCAATTGCAATGA